TTTTTAAAAATAATTTAAGAGCACGCCTTGTAGTACCCTAACTCCATCTACATACGTACACTCATTTGATAGCGAAACTTGTAGAGGAAAACAATCATGTATTCTATATATTTATTTTTGGCAATGTTTTAAAAACTGATTCGGAGGTCAAACCGTTTTGACATTTGGTTCTTGATTTGATTGGTTTAATTAATTTAACTGTTCAAACCATTAATTTAACCGTATATGAATAAATATAATATGATGTAATGATCTAACAAGATAAGTGTAGTGACTGGATTGGTTTGTCACTTCGCCCATCACGATGGAAACGCGTCTTGGAGCATGGTGGACGTCAAAATGTAATTTATATAAAAATTTATACAGATTAATTTTAAATTAATTAATTAATCAATTAAAATCATCTATTGAAATATCAATTTTTATAACTTTTTACATAAATTAATTATAAATATATGTAAAAATTTATATTATTATATTGGTAAAGTGCGCGTCAGTCCTGCCTCCCAAAGAAAAATTGAAGTCCCAACCAAAACGACGTCGTTTCCTTAATCCCTAGCTCCCACTCGTCCCTTCTGCAATCATCTCCATCTCCATTGCCTCCCATCTCCATCGACAACTCTGATTCCTTCAATTTTTCAAACGCAATCCCATGCCATCGACTTAATACCCAGCACCCAGTATTTTCACCTCATTCTGCCGCTACAATTCATTATCTCCGTCAATGGTAACCCTTGCTTCTTCGAAGGACGATAAGTGCTTTGTTTTCTTATTAAGCTCCATCTACCCAAAAAAGTTAGAAAAAATCTTACTCCTAGATTAAGAGAACATAACAGAATGACGCAAAAAGAAGGGGCAAAAAGAAGCAGGGAAAATGTCGTCTTCTTTTGAGGAAAGCTTGAAGTAGCGATTGGAGGAGTTGCAAGAGCAGCTCGGGAAGAAACAATAGTTCGAGGAAGCAGTTTTCTCCATCAATTCCCTCCTTCAAAACCATTTCTCCTCCGCTTCTCCCTCTCTCCGCAAGTCGGCATGCTATTTTGATCCCCCTTTTTTAATTTGGAATTTCTTTCGATTTCCATATGTTTTTTTTTTTTTTTGAACTGAAGTTAGAGATTTCCATTTGGTTGAGTTCAT